CATAATGTCCTTTCATACATACATACATACCAATCTCTTAGCATCCTTCACTCTCTGTTTAGCTGCTTCAGTTGTAAACATACTATCATATATTGTTACAACATGATCTACCATATCCAACACCAACAGATACCAGTGTGAATTATGGTAGTTTATTGTGATCATTATCTGCAACAAATTTCACACCCAATTTGACAAAATTCAACATTCTATATCCGAAAACATCATTTGCAATTGGTATGGTGTCTTACCTTCTCACAGTCGGTGAATTTCACATAGTTATCCAATATGACACCCCAGAAGGTAGAAATATTCTCAACACTTTCTTTATTGTTGGCTTCCAACGCCTGTTGCTGTAATTACGCAACAAACATTATTAATTTACCGTCTATAACACTACTTTTCAATATTATTAATTTAACTCACCACTAAGAGGTATGGAAGGTAGCCAATCCTCCGTGTGACTTTTGAGAATCGTAGCATATGGTCCAGGCGAGCAAATCGATAACCTAACAAAATTAATTACACAATCAGAACATATTCAATAAGTTTTATTTATTTTCTACTTTCTACTTACCACACCGCCAACCCATTCTGTAGGCTTCAACGTTGCAACGTCGTATACAGTAGCGAATTGATTTCCCATTGATATTACAGAATATCTGTATGAATCATTAGGATTAATATCTTGTCATGAAATATTTAAATATCACTCACAAAACAATATATTTCACTTACCCCGATTCTAACTCGCTATTCCATAAATAATCACAAATTGCAGCTTCGATGTCATCAATTCCGGTTGGAATGTCCGCTTTTTCAACCTACAATTTTGCATACAAATTTTTGTCACAACAACATAATAAAAATCAAATTAAGTATTCTTTTATTAAACTTACCTTCTGCTTCTTCTTCTGGGGTGCAGGACATTCCGAATCCAAAACTGCTGCTATGACACTCTCCGGTGTATAAAGCACATTGGGCCTCTCCTTCCTCCTCATTTCTTCCATCTCTTCTTCTTCCTCCTCCCTCTTTTCTTCTTCATATTTTTTCAGTTCATCGTACTTTTTTTCTACATAGCTCTTCATATCTTTTATTTCACCCTTCAATTGAGCTCCTTCATCCGAGTATTTATCAACCACCCCCTTCACCCCCGTAAGTTCACTCCTCAAATCAACAACCTCCTTCACCACTCCCTCAAATTTTTCTCCCGTCACCATCTTAATATCACCCCTTAACACCGAAACTTCTTTCACCACTTCACCCCTCAACACCTCTACTTCTTTCACCACTCCTTCTATTTTTCCTTCCACTACCCCCTTATGCCTCTCGAGTTTCTCTACGACTTGATCAAGTTTCTCTTCGACTCTTGATTGTCTTTGCATGATTTCAAATTGGATTTTTTTGATATCAGCCAATTCAGACATCAAAATGTCGAAGTTACTCTGTTTTGCTTCACCGTCGTCCCACTCACCTTCATCCCCCAATACAACCATCCCTCCTTTCTTCTCCTCTGCCTCCACTGCCTCCTCTACATCCTTGCCAATAACCTTCAAAAAATTAAATTACAATATTAAGACATTGATTATATTCTTAATATTATTTAATTACATTTATTACCATTTCTTGCTTCTTCCCTCTATCCAACTTCAACTTCACCATCACTCTAACCACCTCTTCCTTCCCCATGCACGGATGCGTGCCACTCCGGTTCTTTCATAAGCCGGCACTGCCTCACAGCCCGACCAAAAATTGAACAGTGCAACCTGCATTTATAATAAAATTAGAATTTTTATATAAAAACACAAAAAAGTGATTCAACTCATTTACCTCTAAGATTGCTATGCACCCTTTGAGGTATCTCTGGCTGCCCTTTTTAAAGGTGATAATTGATTCAATCAATCTCGAATGGATATATTCAGCCCAATTGAATTCACCCTTCAAGCCTTCATCGCAAATGAGCTTCATATATTCCTTGTTCGTTGACGTATCACCCGTTGGACAAAGAAATATACCGACAAGGTACAATAGAACTCGGGCCTTCAGCTCATCCCCCAAGTAAGATCCACTTTTGATATCCTCTTCAACTTCAGTATATGTCACCTTATGATTCAAACCATATTTGGAGGCAAGTGCTTTCCAGTTCTTACTCCTACAGACTTCTATAACACTTTTGCCTTTGTTTTGTACCCCCAATACGGCTGCAGCAGTCGATACCCCCAGAGGGAATGAATAATCACCATACTTAGCCATACATTGACTGACGTCAAATTGTGCCATCAAGGATCGACACAATTCCCTCCGAATAGGTCGATCCCTTACTCCGATCAACGATCCAAAACCTATTTCTCCCAGCACATTCAACTGACCCTTCTCCTTAAGGTGTTTAATTAATAAATTCACCCTTTTAATGCTGCATCTTGTCGAAACTTCCTACATTTTTTAACAATATATAATGTTATAGTTCTTATATATTTGTATCAACGTATTTACAAGTTTAATGAATACCTTATTTTCATGTGCTTTCCTCCGTTCTTTGTATTCTTTACTATCATTCCTTGACTGTGTGATGTAAGGTTCCTTTTCAGCATCACTCATTGAATTCCATTTGGACCTCACATCTTTTTTCACCTAATATTAAACATAAACGTTTCTTAATCAATACATTAACACTAAATACTAATACTACTCAATGTCAATTTCATTTTACATACCGAACCGCTCTGTGTGCCATCTCCCTTCATCCTTTTGCATTCGGCCATACTGTTAACATTTAAAATTTGTAATCAATTTAAAGTTTATCGATACTTTAATCCAATTACCATTTCAACAATAATAACAAAAAGACATTGATACTTACTAGAAGTACATATATCCACCCTTTGGTTGCTTTCGAGTCTCGGCCTCAATTTCAAAGTCATCTGCTCCACCAACAATTTTCCAACCCATTGACTCCATTTTTCCTTCATATCAGTTTACGCAAATCAAATTATTTTGTTACATACACTTTTCAATATACAAATATAGATAACTACTCTTGTGGTAAAACGGTTTTCTTCAAAAGAATTTGAATGGCCACACCAAAATGTGTCGGCACATTATACAACCTATAATATCATTTTCTACCTATAATATTTAATAAAAGTATCGACATTTATCGTTTTCCTTGAATATCTATTTCTACCTGCAATCGGTCCCAAATGCTTCCTTACTCCAAAACCCCAAACAACACATAAAAAACCCTATCGCGATTACTGTAATAATAAAAAATTAGGGTTTCGACAACATACTTTTCGATTCGACTGCAGCAACAAACAAACAAACTTCGCTTTAGAAACGCCTTCTGAAATGCAGCAACAATTACTCTTCGATTTCAAAAACTCGTCCGTTCTATCTATTTTCAGAGGATATTTAGCTTATATTTTCATCGGATATGTTATTATATTTAATCGATACAAATACAAAAGTGTCGATACTTTTATGTCAGGTGTCGATACTTTCGAAAGGATAATTACCTATTTCTTTGAAAGTGTCGATAATTTATTACACGTACTTACGAAAGTATCGACACTTTCAATATATCCGGTATCATTTTACCGTTTTATCATTTTGATACCGGTTTTATCATATTTTTACCTGTTATATCGTTGTGGATCGATATTTTTTTTTAAAGTATCGACACATTATAGGCGCTATAACTGCTTCTCTTTTAAATTCACAAAGTGTCGATCCTTATATAACGTATCGACACTTTTAATTTTACCGGTTTTATCATTTTGTTACCGGTTTTATCATATTTTTACCTGGTATATCGTTTTGGATCGATATATTTCTTAAAAGTATCGACACTTTTTAGGATTTAAAACTGCTTTTAAAGTTATGTAATTTATGTTTCAATTTATTTAATAGTGTTTTATGTTTTCCACCTACAATATTAATTTAATAATTTAATTTACACAAAATTTTATTTGATTGTTTTGATATTTTATAAAATATTATTTAGAATTTAAATTTAACAATATTAACCAAATATAATAATAAATATGTTTTCAACAGTGAAATAAGTATGGACACTTTTATAAAAATGATATATATACTTTTTTGAAAGTTATGTAATTTATGTTTCAATTTTTTTAATAGTGTTTCATGTTTTCCACCTACAATATTAATTTAATAATTTCATTTACACAAAAAATTATTTGATTGTTTTGATATTTTATAAAATATTATTTAGATTTTAAATTTAACAATATTAACTAAAGATAATAATAAATATATTTTCACAGTGAAATAAGTATGGACACTTTTATAAAAAGGATAGATAATTTACAATATAACAGGTAAAAATATGACAAAACCAGATTCATTATGACAAAACCGGTAAAATTTACTTGATATGTTAAAAGTATGGACACTTTTTATAAAAAGGATAGATACTTACCGATAACCAAAGTTTACCGGTTACCAAATTTTTTAATAGTTTTTCATATTTTCTACCTAAAACATTATTAGTTGTCAACATAATAGGTACCGCTAAACCGAATTTATTAAATACATTTTAATGTATCCGGTAATGCTGTATATTAACCGTATATTAACCCGCCTTTCCTGAGACATTCCCCATTGTCCGTTGTTGGTCTATACTATGATTTCCTCTCTTTCCTTTTATTTAAAGTATGACGTTTCGAGGAGGGATTGGGTCCCATGATTGCTCATCTTATTAGAAAATAGAAACTGATTTAATTGGGATTAAAAATTGATGACGTGGAGAAATTGATATTTATGTATTTATTGAAGGTGCCTTTTCTATTGCAGATCCAATAAAAATAAGAGTATTTTAAATACTAATTATAAGTGATGTTTAAATAATATTAAGCGTATTTTTAAATTTATTTTTTTGATATTTTATATTTTTTAATATTAAATCTAATGACAATTCGGTTTCAGCTCAAATGCCTGGGGGGAGAACAAGAAAAACACTCGATTTAATAATAATCATATTCAACATCAGCTCGTTTTATTTTTATGCTGCAAGCACTACAATTGTATCATCAAGAAACGAATGAAAAATATAGTTGCTGATTGGTGGTTCCTTCTCAGAGAAACCATAAGGACATGGAGCGGCTGCTTTGATTTTTCTGGGATGATAGTGACCGGTTTGAATAAACTGGTGGCTATTATTATCCATTTCTCAATGAATTATGATCACGGTGGTAGTGACGGGGCCGACGGTGATGGTGCTGGCCGCAGCCTCACGTATTTTCCTAACCGCAGTCCTCCGAACTTGCTAAACATTCTCGGCGGTTCAATATTACTCTTCTTGTCGAACCAACGAGCAAACCCGTGTTTCTTCTTTCTCACGCCATGCTGCGGGTTATGCCAAGAAAATGTGCCTTTGGACCCTTCTGAAACAGGGTCCTTAACATCGGTATCGACAATAGATTCATCAGTAAAACAATACGTTCGGTTATTTTCCTGGTGGTTACGAGGAAAACGACGACTGCGGTCGTCTGGCAACTGGCTTTGAATGTCGAGATTCTTGACGTAGGAGTAAAGCTCTGCTTTTTTGCCAACCTTTTCTGATATCGTCTGAATGAGCACCGATGGTTGCACGGTACCCCGAACAGACACCAGCCCATTTTTGGAATCTATGTCGATATCATACACGTCTACATGACAGAAATCAAACAACAATCAGAAAAGTTTTTGAACAAGTGTTGGTCTGTTATTTTAGGAAAACATACCATTGATTTTCTGCAACTTTTTCTTCACTTTCTCGGGACATGTTGAACAACACTGGATATTCACTTTCAGAACACACGTCTGAAAAGAGTAATACCAATAAAAAACACGTAAAACCATGAAAAAGAAACTATGGGTATTAAACATATATGTATGTGAAGAAGAACAGATGAATACCGGGACATCGGGACCATCTGCCATTGGATGATTGGAACTTAGAGAGCCGAAGCAGAACAGAGAAAGGAGTGTGGCTTGAACTGTGTTGCAGCTGGCTATTTTTAAAGAAAAACTTGATGATTTTCACCCTTTTTGGGTAGAAAAACTTGATTCATCAATCTTTCAAATGGAAAAGTAATGAATGATTTCCATAAACAGTATAAATTTCATGTGTTCAGAACGTTCGTACTTGAAGAAGATAACGTAACTGCAAAACCAAGGTTTGATTGTGTATGAATGCAGAAATTCCATAACTGAAATTGGTGATCACAGGTAAGAATTTTAAATCTAATATTAGATAAAATACAAATTCAATATCAACTTTAGGTAAGAATTTTACACCACATTTCAATACAAATTCCCTTTAACGATGTAATACGTCTTGGTTAGAATTTTGATATAATTATAAATTTAATCTTTTTAAATATGAAAAAGTAAAAATTGTTTTATTTTGCTAAGAATCTTACACTGCATCTCTATAAATCCTAAAACTCATAATTTTTCCATTTTTACCATAAACGATGATCCATCGCAAGATTTTCATTTTTGAATAATCTTCGAGTTATGATGATTCCCATTGCCAAAATCTTAATAGAGTTAAAATTTTAAATAATTTAATAACTTATATTAAAAAAAAGTAATCAGTACAGGATTCTCAAAGGAATGATTTGAGAAGAATCCAAGGAAATTACAGCGACAACCTTCGGCCAGTGTCCACGAGTTTAGAGCGTGGAATTCTCAAAGGCAGCGACTGCCTGGGATACTAAACCCACACAAATTTATGAAATCCCTACAATTGGTTCACATAAATCGAATTTCCCCATCTTAAAATCCTTGCCCTCTTATCTTTTAAAACCACACCGATTGGAACGATAATTGTGAGGAAATCCAGGATTTTGAGCTCTCGAGATGGGTAAGTGTTTGGCTATGTAACAAAAAAGGTTCAAGAGGGAGGCCCAGATTATAGGAATTTTAGATAAAACTTGGTTTCTCTCCATCAAACAATATGATGAAGATTTGTTTGATGGCTTCTCATGGGTATCCTCAGCGCCAGGGCCTTGTTCTACACCAAGAGCAAGGCGTTAGGATCAAGGTAATTATTTTTTCTTCGTGTTTTCCCCCCTATGGTTTTGATGATTTGGGGTTTTTGAGATATTTTGTTGTTTCAATTGGGTTTCTCTTTGTTTGTGGATTCATATTTCTTTCGTGAGCCACTGTTGTCCCTTTTCCGCCTTGTATGCTTGTTAAATTGTGTTAAATTATTCTTTGTTTATTCATTTGTACAATTCTTAATCATTTTAACATGGAGAATTTGGAGGTTTTGTTTTTTTTTAATTGTTTTGTTGAATTCTAATGGAGTTTTATTCCAATGTATCTCTAATTATTTTATTAATGATTGCTTATTGTTGGAAGCAGGAGTGTGGATCTTTAATTCCAAGTCAGATAACGAAACAAGACATGGTACGGATAGGCTCCTTTGATCTGAGGACCAACCGATTCGAGGAGCTGCCAAAACCAGTTACTGCACTGCCTGAGCCTAAACTGATTATCGATGTTGATCTGATGCTACAAAAGCCTGTGATTATCAATAAATCAGGTCTGCAACTTGTTGCCCGGTTCCTTGTACTGGATAATTATTTATTTTACCATGTACTTAGGGAGAGAGACAAATCAATTGTTCATAGATACACAATAAAGAATTTGTGTTTATGTATAAATTTTAGTTAACATGCTAATTAATTTTTTTGTTTCACCTCGATGAGAGTTTGTATATTTGAAGCACCGAATTTGCCATGATGCATGATTATGAAAGGTGATTCTATTATTAGGATAAAAAAGAGTTAAAAGAGCAACTCAACACATCTATGGCAGTCTGCAGAATGCTTATACTTTCCATGTGGTCACAGATGCTTACCTGGATACAGAACTGCTTGGCTTTGGGATAGCTGAAAAGTGCACGAGACATGAAAAAATCCTGAAGTTTCTTATGTCTGGATCAAATGAATTAGAGAAAGGGGAACTTGATTTATCTTTGCTATCTGAATTGATAGGACTTCAACCGGTGATGTTTGGCATGCATCAACAACCTTATGATTCATATCTAATTTATCCAAGTCGCAAAATTGATTCCCAGATGCCTCTCCCGGACTTTTTTGGAGAAATGGTGCACAATTCAAAAGTAGCTGTTAGCCCAGATGGTCAAGTTATACTTACAGCTTGTGGGACTGAGATGAAAGACATCCTTTCGATCGTTGCTGAGTTTTACTTATCAAGCAACTCAACTAAGTGGAGAAAGCAATCATCACTGGTCCCGTACTTTGATCGGTATGCCAACTGACACCTAGTTCATTTAAATTACATGAAATCCGAGTACAAACAAGCAATTCTTGGTAAATTTTGACTATTATTGAGAAGTAAACATTGGATGAAAACTTTCTACTGTCGTTGTTTGTATTTTTTGTGTTCTTACTTTATCTTAAGCGGTTTATGTCCAATTTGACTTGTGCTTCTGGCTTGAGATTAACTAAATTTGCCTCTCAGGTTTAATCTCATTTTAGTGTAAAACTATAAGTTGATTTCAATGTTTGAAAGGCATCTGATGCTAAAAAAATAAACTAAACAGGAAACAGATCATGAAAGCACGTACTGATACTAACCTGACTTCTCCAAAGTTTGAAGTTGCGAGTATTGCACCTCTGGAGAGGTATGTGATTGATCATCTGTTTCAAGAATGTTTCATTGTGCCCTCGTTTATTAACCCCCATGCTCTTGCCATACTATAGTGGAGACTTTCTAGTTGAAATAATTGGAATTTATCTTGGTTTGAGAGATCTTGAAAGCTATGCATGCAATTGCTACGAGGGGATAATGACGTGTGAGTTACTATCCATTTATATTAATTGCATTTCAGACCATAGCTATGGGATGAATACCGGAAATATGTATTTTCAGATATATAAATTAAAACAGTGCTGAACAAAAATATGTACGTAAAAATTAAAATGATAAACGGAATATGCTAGAAGTGGCAGATTTTACCTACATATCTTTCAACTTGGCTATCGTCCACTGGTTATGAGATCTAAAAGACGTTTGTTCTTATACATTGCGAAAATGTAAAAATTCTACAAAAACTATAGTTTTGGTACTTTCCATGAAATTCTTTTGTTCAGAATGCTTTTCTATTTCTTGTATTCTCATTCACCTCTTTTTTGACAGTCCTGATAAAATCAAGCTGAAGCCATACCCAAAGAAGGGGTCTAAGAAGTTAGGCAGGGAGAGAGATCTCTACAGGAAGAACTATTTCCATGCGTGTGAGTGCCTTCTTTCCTTGATGGTTGATAAGAGACGGCTTGGCAGAACAGCAGTTCTTTCCCTTAAGAAATCCGGCCCTGAACTTCCTCAGCTCTTGACCCAATTCTCTGCTAGCATTGCTGGGGCTGGTCTTGCTGTTCTTTTCTCTGTTATTTTTAAGGTTGCTTGTGGGAGAGTTCCATTTGATACATCTAAACTATTTAGCACTGGCCTCGCCTTTGGGCTAGTTTGGCTCTCACAGTCAGTCAACCGACTGAGGGACACGGTCATACATATCAGCAAGAATACTAGCAAGTCGGATATGCAGAAAGAGGAGATAATTAAGAGAGTGGAGAGAAGTGTTAATCAAATCTATTTCAGAGCTGCGACCTTGATGGCTGTAGCGGTGCTGAAGTTTGTATGAACTTTGACTTCTGATGCTGCAACATTGATCTTAGACGTCGATATCTAAAGAACAGAGGGGATGTGTGTTTTGGGGGGGGGTCTACCTTGAGCACATACGAGGACCTGATCTCTGCACTTATGTATAGCTATCATTATTTTGTAAATGGAGAGGTGAGAGCCAAGGAGTTTACCAGTACTACTGCCTGCCTTGGGGGAAAAAAAGAACCATACCTTCCATGTTATGATGTTAATAACTACAATTTTGTCTTTGTACTTGAAACTATGTATCCTTGACTACAATTGATATTTTTTAGTAAGCAATGATGTGCACTAGGCAGTGCGTTGAATAAATGATGAATAATGACTCTATTGGGTCAACTTTTATTCATGTTATACGGACTAGAGGAATGTAATTCCATTCTCAAAATTGAAATTACACATTTAAAAAAGGTAGAGAACTAGAAATGTTAACGTCAACGGCTTACTTTAACATGATCAATATGTCCATGGCAGTCTACATGTGCATAGTGACGTTCAAGTGTCTCGTACTGCAAAATCGAAAGTGCGATAACATTGCAGGCGACACAGAATCTGAACAGAAAACAAAAAGTTACCAACCACTGCAATTTCAGTTCCTCCTATGTCCTGAGCAGGGGGTTGCTAATTTCATCATAGGCAACAGCCGTGGCCTTTTCCTTCTTCTGCAAGCATCTATTCATCGAAATTCCAGAACCGATCATCAGATCAGTAGTGTAAAACTCATAAACTATAATGGCTTCATAAGCATATGGATAGAGCCAACCTCTGTGATTGCTGCAGCGAGTCTGGTCTTTCCATGATCAACGTGCCCGGATGTTGCTACATTGACAACAGGTCTGGAAACAAAACCCATAATGCAAATAAGAACAAAGATTTCAACCCTTTAACATGAAAGAAGATGTAATGTATTTAGCAAAATGAAACTGGAACTGACAAGCTAGTGGAAGTAGCCATGGATGGTGCTGATGCTGTTGCCTTTTGGGGAAAGTATTTAGCTTTTTGTTTGATGCAAATCTAAAACTTTTAGTTTTACACCTTTTTAGGATATCAAATGATGAGATTAACTCCTTATTTTTTTTCTAGTGAATATATACACATTTCCGACTATTAATCTCAACATTTGATTTCCTCTCATCCAACGATCGTAAAAAGATATAAAACTAAAAAGTTTTACTTAGCCCTATATATATATATATATTGTCATAGTTATTGTGATGAGAAACATTATAATAATACATTGTAATAGTTGAAAGATTTCCCGTATCAAAAATATATAATTTTTATCTTCTATAATACGTGCTTATCTTCAACTTCTTACTCTTGATTCCATCCCACGACAACCACTACTCAGAAAATAAATTAGGGAAAACTACTTGAATTATTACTAATCTATTAATTTTGTCAATTAATTTTTTATTAAATTAATTTTTAACTTATAATATTTTATATATATATCTTATAATATTATGTTATGTAATTTTCGTTTTCATACGCATTTTAAATAATTTAAATCGAATAAGACCATTTTGAAATTAAAATGATGACACCTACTCACAAAATGTTAATATAAATAATTTATGTTCATGCAATGTTACCACACTCGTCCCCCCTTTTTTAATTTTATATTATATTTCAATAATTATTTGATAACGATTCAACATTAAAATAATACTATCATATCAATATATATATAGCACCTATTTTTTAAACCCTAGGCTATGTGATTGGCTTCCCACAGACACCTTGAAAGGTTTCTCTTGAAACTCCTGTACTTGTAGGAAAACTTCTTCAAAGAAAAATGATTGATTATGACGTGCAAAATACCAAGTTTACATGGCATTGAATCACTGCTCAACAGTTCTATTATTTTCAGCGACATTAAAAAGCTGTTCAATTGAGATTTTTTGGGTGGAAATGGGGGGGAAACATGCTGACTGCTTACAAACCACCGGAAATTGAAGAAAAATAAATTTCAATAACACCCATTTTTCATTACACTAACAATCTCTTCAGTAATGCTATAACAAAGATATTACCAGCTGTTTGTTCCATCTAATTGAGAAAACCATCCAATGTCAACTTCTTAGCTCAGTACTTTCGATACCACACCAGCACCAACAGTTCTACCTCCTTCCCTCAAGGCAAATCTTTGTCCTGTTACACATTCATGACAAGCACCATGTCAAGATGGTCTTATTTGCTAATATCATTTTGACTTTAACAGGAGGAGGGTCAGGAGAAGAAAAGGAATAATGTAGTATACCTGCTTCAAGGGGCACAGGTGAGATGAGCTCGAAAGTTGCAGTAACGTTGTCCCCTGGCAGAACCATCTTAACACTTTCAGGTAATTCCACTTTTCCAGTTACATCTGCCGTCCTCAGATAAAACTGGGGCCTGTAATTTGATTCAAAGGCTGTATGACGTCCACCTTCATCTTTCGTGAGAACGTATATCTCTGCCTCAAACCTTTTGTATGTCTTCAAGCTTCCAGGTTTGGCAATTACCTACAGAATTGGAAGAAATCAGATGCTCCAGCTTTGCTACATTCTCATTTTCGCACCATCATGCCCAACAAAACAAATTTAACATCAATCTATCTATCTATCTATCTATCTATCTATCTATCTATCTATATATATATATATATTCTTTCAACTGCTAATAATGAACATAACTGAAAAACTCTTCTATCTTGTTCCACATAGAATATTTCTCCACATGAAAGTTTCACAAGGATTTACACGAAAGTGGCAAATGTGACTTCAAAAAGCATATAAATTATGAATAGATTAGAGTCGCTACAAGAAGCTCTATTTATTGAAGAACTAAGAGGATGTAAAGAAAAGTTAAGTAGGTGCCATTTACCATTCCACGCTGCACATCCTCTCGTTTTAGTCCACGAAGAAGAAGTCCCACATTGTCACCAGCCTAGTAGAAAACACATGCGTATAAATATACAGAGACCAAACATAGAAAAGCCTTAGCATGACCAAGTCTCTACAACAGTTCATTTACCTGTCCTTGATCCAATATTTTCTTGAACATCTCAACCCCAGTAACTGTAGTTTTTAGAGGGCCACCCTGCATAAGAAAGCTCAATTTTAAAACTAATGGTTAAACACATTTTTTTTTTTTTGATAGAAATAGGAAGCCTCGTTAAAAACCTCCCTCATAGTTGACCCTTTCCTAATAGAAAGGATTTTTGATAGAAATAGGAGCCTCGTTAAAACCTCCCTCATAGTTGACCCTTTCCTAATAGAAAGGATCAAGTAGTGGAGGGAGGAAAGAGTGCCTCATTTTATTACCAAACCAGATTACATAGACTTAACAATACAGCAGATGCTTTTACATAAGACTTAACCACTTCTGCTACTTCAAACCTACAGCTATAGGAAAATGAACTATACTAAAAAATACAATCAACCGATCCCCTGCTTTGCTAAACATCTGCCTCCATTACAAGACTTGGAATTACCTAATTAAAACCACCTTTCCCGAAAGGATCAACAGAATTTCTCTAACCAAGGCAACATGAAAACTGGTGCCAAAGACGGGGGTGAATCCACTCCACTGCCGACTTACCAATCACTCTCAACAACCAATCTACTAGCAGCAGACCATCTTGAAGCTAAAAAATTTCGATGCCTCTTTTAATAGCCTTTAACTCTGCAACTGGTGGGGGACCTTGACCAATATTCTCAGAAAAAAGTCAGTAGAGTGCAGCAATTCCAGTCCCTTAAAATGCCTCCAATACCTCCAATCGAGTCTTTTAACCTAACAGCTCCATCAACATTCATCTTTAAGAATCAACAGGTGGAGGAAGCCAGCTAATGACATCATAATCTTTAGGTTTAGGAACAGAATACCATCACTAGTGATGGATCCCCAATTAGCAGATCTTCCTGGATAGGAATTTAGGATACTGGCTAGGAACCATTTAGATAACCTAAATCTCACAAGGAAAAAGAGAGACAGCCTATCAAGGTTTACACCTTCAACACAATCGCATTCCTTGCTTTCCAAATAGACCAAAAACGACTCCCGGGATAAACTTCCAATCAATGAATTCAACCTCAAACTCCCCACGAATTAAATAAGGAAGGAGGGTCCTGTGGTAGCACAATAGACAAGTCCCAGAAGCTTGCTAGTTTATTCCATAGTTCCCAAACTACAAAACACGAAATGAATAAGTGTTTGCACAGTTTCCTCATGTTCCTTGCAAAAAGGACAGAGTACATCTTCTTCTAAGGACATTCCTCTTTTAACTAACTCCATTTTAACTGCAACCTTCTGATGAGCTAACTGCCATAGGAAGGCTTCTACACGAGGCGGAGACAAACCCAACCACCCCTTTTGACCACACTCAATTCCACTGCCAACCATTCAACTCAAAGCTTCCGAAATCGGCAACCTACCCCATTGTTGGTTGAGAGTGCAAAAATTCTAGGGAAAAGAATTTTTAAGGGAACCCATCCACCCATGGATCCGTCCAAAAAGATATGGACTTACCATTGCCTACTTGCAACTTCGAAAAAGATCTAAGACACTCACCGCCGAATCATTCTTCAAGAAATTATTAGCAATACTTCTCAAATTCCAAGAAGATTTTGGAGAAATGACCTTACTAATAGACATAGTATTACTACTAATTATGCTTACTACATAGCACTTTTTTCCAGATGGAATCCTTTTCATTTGCGAACTTCCACACCATTCCCCAATAATGCCCGATTAGAAATATTCAAGTCAAGAACCCCAAGGCCACCACTGTTCATTGGTTTGCAAACTGTATCCCAACTAACCAGTGGATCTTCCTTTTTTCCGCACTGTCACCCCATAAAAATCTGGCCATTAAGGAGTTTAATTTATTCCCAACTTTGCAAGGCATTTTAAAGAAAGATAGGAAAAATGTTGGCAGTGAAGTCAACACTGACTTTAATAGAACTGTCCTGCCAGCCAAGGACAGAGAAGAAGCTTCCACCCGCTAGTTTTGAATTGAAATTTTTAAGGACAGGATCCCATAAAGCTTCAGAATTCTTCTTAGCACCGATTGGAAGACCCAAATAATCTGCGGGAAAACGATCAACAGAGCAGCCCACTTCCACTGCCCAGTCTGATAAATATCCTCATCAACGTTGACACCATACAGTTTACTCTTCTTTAAGTTTAGATGCAACCCCGCCATAATACTGAAAATCCTCAGCACCCTTTTGACATTTTAATCTGAGTAAGTGAA